TGTATATATATATATATATATATATATACTTTAGTGTTTGTAAAATTGTATACATTTAGAATAAAATTTAGTTTTGGTGAATTGTTACTAAAAAATTTAATAAATTGCATTTTACTTTGTTTAGTTAATTTATTTTATTCTATCAGACATTATCAAAAATCAACAAAACTCTTAATTTTGAGTTCACAGGGTGAATCTAAATTTTTGTGAAACCTTATTGTGTTTTTTGACGTGTCCATCTTTTTCTCTCTCAGGTGAGTCCTCGAGACGGTCGCATCATCGCTCTGAGCGGCTTGGACGCGGGCCGCTACAGCTTCAACGCTACAGTAACAGACGGCCGCTTCACTGTGAACGTGCCGGTGAGCGTGCATGTAGAGCAGGCCTCGGCCGAGATGCTCCACGATGCCGTGACCATCCGTTTCGACCGCGTCTCCCCTCTCGACTTCGTGTCCCGTCACCTCCCATCGATCAGACGCGTCCTGTCCAGCGTGATGGCGACGCCGCGGCCCGACGCTCTGCACGTGCTCAGTGTGCAGCCGGTGGAGTCCACGGGGCAGCTGGATCTGCTGGTTGCCGTGGAGACGACGGAAGGCGGCGGGTTCTACAAGGCGGCGCTGGTGACGCAGAAGCTGAGTTCGGCGCGCCGGCAGCTGGACCAGGTTCTGAGAGTCTCAGCTGTGCTGGATAAGAACTGCTCGGGTCTGGACTGCAGGGAGGCCCAGTGTGAACAAACCATCACGCTGGACTCGCACAGTCTGCTCACATACAGCTCCACCAAAACCAGCTTCGTGTCGCCCAAGTTCCACAGGAACACGCGATGCGTTTGCAGCGGTGAGTGTGTCTGAACAAATTGTTGACCCAGGATCATTTTAAACCAGGTGTTCTCAACATTTTTCATTCAAAAGCTCCTGTTTTCCAGCACATTTTGATGCTTTTATCCAAAATGAATGTCAAAAGAGGAACACAATATCCATGCATATAGACTATTATATTCATGGCATTTCTGCTGTAATTATGACCAACAAAATTAAAAATAGTTTATTAATTTATATATTTAACTAATAGAATTTTTGTGTCTCCATCAATTACATGGTGATGTTTGACTATGTGAACCATTAAAGAATAGAATTTATTTATCGATTTAATTAATAGAATTGTAATTTATTTGTTTATTTTAATAGAATTTTTAATAGAAACTGTACTGATATTTAATTAACCACAATTCAATTTGTAATTCTTGAAGTTTCAACAAGTATGTTATTAAGGGGCGGAAAACAGAATATGTCAGTTTACATCTTGATTTTAATTTTAATTTAAGTTGGAGTTTTTAATATATTAATAATAATTGATTTATTTAAATACTTTTAAGTTATCCCGTGGCATTTTGGGAATTTTGATGAACATTTATGTTTACATATTTATATGCATTTATAATATTGAGTCTCATTCAATAATTGTGCTTAAGTTGTGAATAAATACACAAATAAAATTAACATGTGTTTAGAAAAAGTTTTACCTTTATTATACTGTTGATAAATGTGCATTTTGTATGCATTGTCATTGACATATAACCAGTCAAGCTTTTTAATTTTTGTTACTTGAAAATAATCCTTTTGTCATTAGTCATTTTGTTTCTAACAACAATTTAGAAATAGACATTTTGGCACACTTTAAGATTCTAAGGCCATTTATTTATTTATTTTATTGCATATGTGCAATTTTAGTTGCAAGATCATACATTTAGTATAGTTTTAAATAGGAAATTTAATGAATCATGATTTCTTCATGTAAATGTGTAAACACAGGTTTTGCACAAAGAAAAAAATAGTAAACGAGGCCTGTTGGTTGGACAAACACTATTGTTATGTTAATGTGTGGAAATATTGCCACGAGTTTCTTCATCAATTACATGGTGCTGTTTGACTATGTGAACCATTAAACCGTTTCCATCACAAAATTTTAAAAACTATGTTTTGGAATAAATATTTAATGAGTGAATCATGAGGCAGTTTCTAAACAACTCGCCACGACATTCTCGCACTGTGTTGATTCTCACTGTATACAAAAGCAGTTCTAACCTAATCAATTACACATGTAAAACTTTCCTGAACTCAAGGTTAAAACCCCATCTTTAAAAGACGTTAACCCAGGGTTAAGCGTAGTGTGAACAGCCTTTACATAAGCCGCCTATTAAACATGCACTTACACAATGACACTCTTGAACACGGGCCACGTCCTTGCACTCATAAACAGCAGGAACAGAAACACATCATTGAAATTAGGAAAAATATTTGTGGTCAGTATTATCACAGTACACCACTATAACCAGAGCCTGTTTGTTTTGCGGTAGTAATTTCTCCCTGTCTTTCTGTCAGACGGGAGTTGTTCTGCTGCGTCGGAGGTGTGTGCGGATATGAGATGTCCCGGTGACATGCAGTGTGTGGGAACGGACAGCAGCAGGGGGCCATACACGTGCCAGTGTCCGCAGGGCAAACTGGGAGAGTGTGCAGGTAACATATAACCCTGTATGAAAGCTCTTTATGTGTGATATATAATGTGGCACCTTCTTAAAATATGAGCCGTTTCCTTTCCAGTGACTGATGTTTTTCTCTGGTAACAGTTATATCAAGTACAGAGTGACGGATGGAGAGAGGAGCGGAGAGATGAAGTTAGCGCTCCGCATCAGAACGCTGCAGAGCAAGGGAATCATTATGTTCACACGTACAGATCCGTGCAGCGTGCTGAAGGTACACATCATAAAACACACTTATAGCCTTCATATACTTTGTTCTAATGACTTTTTAACATGGCAAGGAAGTGAAAAGACATTATGAAATCTTAAAAAAAAAACATTTTGAGAGGTTAGGCGTGAACTCTACCAGTCAAAAGTTTAAAGAAGTTTAAAGTCTTTGCTGCTCACCAAGGCTGCATTTACTTGATCTAAAATATAGTAAAACAGCAGTAATATGAAACATTATAATAATTGTTAATAATTTAATAATAAGAAGAATTTATGATAATTAATAATAATAATAGATGCAATAATCGCATGCCAATGTGCATTGGCTCGTTTAGTTTACACTCGAAGTAGATTGGTCTCTCTAAGCGAGATCCCAATTTCCAATTTCGGCGGTCATCCGACGTGACGTCGAGAGTGACCGACTGAAAGGGAACTACAATAAATGTACAATGAACGTGCAAATCTGTTGATAAATTATTGAAAAATGAGCTTAAAATCTCAGGGGGGATGAAAAGTTGTATGTTAATATTTGAGGTAAAAAGGAGTTTGAATGACACAAGTTTAAGAATCTCTGGTTTAGGGAATTGCTATATGTTTGCTTTGCATGCCATTATTTCACAAAGTGATCTTTGTAATCCATCAGATTCAATACAGACTGTATCTGCATTTGATTGACAGATCGAAGAGGGAAAGCTGTGGTTCCAGTTGGATTGCGGCAACAGTCCCAGGAGCATCGGGATCTCCGGCCGTCCGGTCAACGACGGGAACTGGCATCACGTGGTCCTGGAGCTGCGAGGAAACTACAGCAGCCTTTCGCTAGACGACATGTACGTGGAGCGGCGACTGGCCACGACCAAATACCGACCTCTGGGAGCAGATTTGTCCATTTATTTCGGAGCGCAGGTGTCGCCTCCGGACGCCCGTAGCTTGACGGAAAGAAAGGGTCTGCGGGTCACCAACGGCTTTCAGGGCTGTTTAGACTCGGTGGTTCTGAACGACAACGAACTCCCGCTGCAGAACAAACGCAGCCCGTACGCGGAGGTGGTGGGACTGACGGATCTCAAGCTGGGATGCGTTCTCTATCCGGACGCGTGTGCCGCTCAGCCCTGCCTCAACGGCGCCACCTGCGTCAGCCTGCCGTCTGGAGGTGTGTGTGTGTGTACCTGTTTTTCTATTCTGGTGGGGACTTAAACCTGAATACACACAGACTCATGGGGACTCGTGTCACGGTGGGGACCTAAATTGAGGTCCCCACGGGTAAACAAGCTAATAAATCACACAGAATTAAGTTATTTGAAAATCTAAAAATGCAGAAAGTTTCCTGTGAGGGGTAGGGTTGGTGTAGGGCAATAGAATATACGGTCTGTACAGTATAAAAACCTTTACGCCTATGGAGAGTCCCCACAAGGATAGCAAACCAGACGTGTGTGTGTGTGTGTGTGTGTGTGTGTGTGTGTGTGTGTCCAAACCCTGCTTAACCCGCCAGAAATGTCTGCTTTTAGGATTGTGCCATGATTCATCTTAATGTTATAATTGATCCTCCTTCTGTGATGTAATTACTCTGGTTAATAAGCTTTGCTCAGTTCTGGCTTAAGTCAAATCAGCTCAGCTTCTGTCTGCCGAATGAAGCTCTAATTCACATCTACTGCGTCTGATGGAGACCAAATGACCAATTGTGATGATTAAATCAGCGCCTGCTTTCCACATGCTCTCTAGTACATCTCATCCCATCTTCTGTTCTCTCCTCCTGTTTTCTCTCGCATTTCTTCTCATCTCTTTTCGTCGTCCCCCTTCTCTTTTCTTCACATCATACTGTCTTCTCATGCCACGTTTTCACCTAGTCTCTTCTCGTCAATTACTTTCTCCTCGAATCTCGTCTCTTCTTATCTATTCATGTCTCTGTTTTTTTATCTTATCTTCTCATTTAGTTTGTTCGTCTCTTCTGGTCTCACCTCCTTTCTCCTAATCTTGTCTTTCCTCTTGTATCGTTTTCGCATCTCGTCTCATGTCCTCTCATCTTTTTACTCTTTTCTTCTCCTCTTCTCTCTTTGCCCCTTCTCGTCTATTATTCAAGTCTCTTCTCTTCTCGTCTATTACTTTTCTCATCTATTTTGTCTTCTCGTCTCTTTCCTCTTTGTCTCTTCTTATCTATTAATGTCTCATTTCATCTAATCAATTCTCATCTCATGTCGTCTTTTCTTTTTGCTTTTCCTCCCTTCTAATTTTGGCTTTTTTCCCTTCTGTTCTGTTCTCATTTTGTGTTTTCTCTTCTCATCGATTATGTTCTCCTCAAGTCTCTTTTCTTGTCTCATCTATTCTCATCTCATCTTGTGTCTTTCGTCCACATCTCTTCTCATCTGTCATTGTTTCGTATCTATTATTCTCTTCTCATAAGTTCTCATCTCATCTTGTCTCTTCTCATCTCTTTTTATCCATCTTCCTTTTTTTTCCTTTCTTGCTGACTACTTTCTTCTTTCGTCTCATCTCTTTCGATCTGTTTGTCTCATCTTGTCCTCTAGTCTCTTCTCAGTTATCTCTTCTCTCTTTGTCTCTTCTCGTCTATTTCTCCTTTAGACCTCTCATCTCTTGTTTTCTTCTCCTCTCATCTGTTATCACCATCTTGTCTTTTTCTTGTTTCGCCTCGCCTCGTCTCTTCTCCTCTTTTAGTTTCTTCTTTAGTCCCGTCTCGACCTCTTTTCTGTTTTTCTCCATTCTTCGTCTAATCTAGTCTTGTTTCCCTTCTCCTCATCTCTTCGTCTCGTCGTCTCTCTCTCGCTGGCTCTGATGAATGGAGCAGTGTGTTGTGGGAGTTGCGGTGTTGCCGTACTCCTCCTCTTTGTAAAGGTCGTTTGTGCAGGAGTGTCTGGCAGACGTGTGTGCGCGTGTCTTTTTGTGTGTTTGTTTTTGTGTGGAGACCTGATAAAACCAGCCCACTGTTTACTCACTGACATTTTCCACGCTATTTCAGACCGGCCTGTGAGTGTGTCTGCGCGATTGTGTTGCAGTTCATGAACAAACAGCCTCTCTCTCTCTCTCTCGTGTGTCTCTCTCAGGTTATTCGTGCCGTTGCAGCGCTCTGTACACCGGAGGACGCTGTGAGACCGAGATCAGCGTCTGTATGCCAAACCCGTGTCAGAACGGCGGCGTGTGTAAACCCATCGGGAACGCTTTCATCTGCAGCTGCAAGAGAGGATACACCGGCGTAACGTCAGTTTACTAACCTTTCAGCTATTTTGGTTTTAGTTATTCAGTTTTTGATCCCACATGATGTTTTAAATAATGTATTTATTTTCTGATTAATGATTTGTTTAAAAAATATTAATAATATTACGTACAATTATACATTTTAAAATATATTAATGAATAAATATAAAATATATTTGTATTCTATTCATCTAAAATATTTATATAGAGAGAATATACACTTATATTTAGAAATATATATATTTTTTATTTTTAATATACAATATTTAAGTATAAATAGAAATTCATTATAAAACTGTATTAGCTAAATAATGGTAGCGGATATGTATATTCAAATGTAATTCATTTTAATAATTTTACATAAATTTAAATTATAAATACACATACATTTAAAATTGTTCAATTCTCATTCATAGTAATAATGATAACTATTATTACTATTATTATGTTATTTTAATATTTCATATATTAAGTCTATCAAATCTATATTCTTTCTCTCACTCTCTTTATAGATAGATAATGATACTAGAGGTATATGTATATTTATATTTAAATGTATGATAATGTTAATAATTTTAGCATATATAAATTAAAATTATTCAGTTTGGACTTGTCATTAATTATTATTATTATATTTCATATATTAACAAGTCTATATTCTTTCTCTCTATAGATAGATATGTAATATTTAACATTTTAATATATAATTTTATTGTTAATGTGTGGTATGTATGTTAATCAACAAGCATCCAAATATTGTGTGATTTTCTTTTTTGTGTAGTTGTAAACGATGACACCGTGTGTGTTTGACGTACATAGTCAATTAGATAGATGAACTTAAACTTTCCAAAGTTATGAGTTGCCAACAGAATTTAATAACCAGCGTCTGTTCGTTTCTAAAACATTTACACGAGTCTGTTTGTGTTGGCAGCGCACCATGAAAAACTGGCACAGGCTTAGCACTGACTTGCATGCCATGTTTGCATACATATTCAAACTTGCATGTCCTCCGTGTACGTAATTTGTTATTTTGATTTCAGAATTGTGATTTGTTTAGCACTTCTCGGCCACCGTACATTTCTATGCAGTCGGTGTAATGCATTTCTCAGTTGTCTTCACTGAAGGGAACTGTAGCGCTATCTGTGGCCACAAGATGGTAGCATCAATCTGTCCACATTAGAGCAACATTAGTCTTTTTTAAAGATCGTTTCAAGCCTCTCTCTGCATAGAAGAGATTATACTGCTGCAGTCTCTCTTGGCTTATGCTAATATAGTTCATTACAGACCGCAGACACTTTTATTTGGTCGTTTAGCACTATTGAGGCAACTACACACAGACATCAGAACGATTTCAACATGGCCTTTCATGCACCTGCAGCGTGTCTTTAGTCACACCTGGGAGACACACACACACACACACACTTCTCATAAATTATATAGTATATGGGTACCTTGAAGACAACATGAAATTAACTATTGTGGGCCATTATAGGGAACATTAGTATGATGTGTTTAATATATTAGTATAATAGTGTTATAATAATACTACTATATGTGTATGTGTGTGTGTGTGTGTGTGTCTGTGTGTATATGAAAGGTAAATAATATTGATTAAAATATAACTAAAAGTTCAATTGGAAATAAAACATTAACCTATTTTATTTCAGATAGTTCAGATTATTTTATTTCAAGATTTCTCATCTTTGTTTTGTTACTAATATAACTAAAACTAAACATAAACTAATAAATAAAAATGAATAAAAACTAGACATGAATGAAGCTAATAAAAATGACAAGAACAACACAAAATTACTAAAATTTCACAAACTTTGAAGTGAAAACAGAAAATGTAAAAATAAAATATAATGCTAAAAACTGTTATAGTATATGAATGATATATACACACATGCACACAATTTATTATATAATTTAATCATATATTAAATACTATATGAATATAATATTTATATTTATATAAAAAAATAAATATATATTTAATATATTATATTTTAAAATATATTTTAAAATATATATTTTATACAAAGTTATTTTACTTTTGTTGTATTAATAAAAAAAATTTCTCATCCGTGTGGCCTTGATTGCCTCTAAACTTATAAAGCAGTGAAAGTTTCATTTTGATAAAAATTTTATGAAAAAACCCAGCAATATTTATTATGTAAGTAAACAAGGTCACATTCGATTTCACATTGTCTTTAATAGCTCTTTGAAACATGGTGATTAGCTCCCAGAAATGGCTGAAAACAAAAGTCGTTTTTTTTTCTTCGTCCTAACCAGCTGTGACAGTTTGCTTGGTTTCCATGAAATCTCCCAGCTCCAAATATCTCATAAAAAATAATCTGATTGGCTGTTATTGTGTGGTGTCTCCCAGCGTTTTCACTTTCACTGTAGACAGACGGATTACTTTAGGCTGTAAACGTATCACATCATGCCCGCTTTCAGACACAATGTCAGTTTTTTTATAGACTGATGCATTTCTGCCGAGTCACAATAAATTTTTACAGCAGGCCAAGGACACTAAACTGATGCAGTATAAACCCAGTGGGCCACAGTAACCAGCGAGTGTTTATTTCTCCTCTGCAGTTGTGAAGAGGACGTGAACGAGTGTGAACGCGAGCTGTGCGAGAACGGCGGCGTGTGCGTCAACACTTTCGGATCGTTCTACTGTAACTGCACGCCGGGTTTCGTGGGCAGTGCTTGCTCCGTTCGTCCCGTGCTTGTTCCGGATATGCAGGCTGGCCACGCCTACGTCGGGAAGGAGGAGCTTATCGGAATCGCCGTCGTGCTCTTCCTCATCCTCACCCTCATCCTCCTATTCATCGCCTTTCGGAAGAAGGTCTTCCAGAAGAGCTATTCCCGGAATAACCTTTCCATGGTTCAGGATCCGGCTACGGCCGCCCTGCTGCATAAAGCCAACGGTGGGCACTATCCGCCGCTACGCTGCGCCATCGGAGAGCCAATCAGCTTGTACACGGAAGGAAGTCTGTCCGGTCCGCCTCAGGTTCCCGTCCGGCCGATGGCGTACACGCCGTGTTTTCCCGGAGATGCTCGGGGAACCCTGGATAAACGGCCAGGGGACGGCCGAGGCCCGGAGCTGACGGAAATGAGCACGTTCCATCCGTCGGAGTCGCCGCGGATTCTGGGCGGGACCAACCGGAGGGGCGTGGTCGTGTGCAGCGTGGCGCCGAATTTGCCGCCCGTTTCACCGTGCCGGTCTGACTGTGATTCCCTACGGAAGAGTCCCTGGGAAGAGGAGGGTGAGAGAGAGATCTGTAATATCTATGTTGTGTTTGTGTGCGTATCAGAGTATGTAAGCGGATTGCAGTGACCGTTACTACTCAAAGTATCCGAATCCACTCCAGGATTTCCATTTGTAGCTAGAGCACAGCCATGCATTATACGACTGATAGACTGCAACGGTTGGACTTAAAAATCATCATATGTGTTCTACTGAAGAAACAAAGTCACCTACATCTTGGATGCCCTGGGGGTAAGCAGATAAACATCAAATTTTCATTTTTGGGTGAACTATCCCTTTAAAGAAATCTCACTCCAATTTCGATCCATAGCAGAATTTCCACCCAGTTACTGCTCCACACATTTATAAATATAATTTTAATATATTATATGAATGTAATATAAATAGCAGACGAACAATAGTAACTATATTCCAACTTTTAATAAAAAAAATAAATAATGTCAATATAGCTCACATTAAATAATCAACATCAAATCATTAATTTTCACTTAACATTTGGTATAATTGATTATTTTATTTCTAGTAATATTTCCCAAATTCTGTTGTTCTTTTTAAAAATAAAATATATTTACCAATATAATATGAATGTCATATATGATTGTAATATAAATAGCAGAACTGATAGATACAATAGTAATATTGCATGTATAAACAAATATATATACATATATATTTTTTTAAAGAACCCCAAATGAAGAAAAATCATTATTATTATTATTATTATAAATTGCTCATTTATATTGAGTATATTTAATACATTTTATTTTCCAGTAATTTATTTCCAAACTTTTTCCATTAAAAAATATTTTCTAAATATAATTTTATTTTCGTATATTAAATTATTTTAATATTAGTAGCTGAAAAATGATAGTAATGTTGCATGTATATGCTTGTGCAAATAATCATTTTGCATGCATTTTGCATATATCCATTTAAAAAAAAGAATCCCAAATTAAGAATATTCAAAGAATCTGTTATATTATTATTATTATTATTATTATTATTTCAAGTTACTCATTTGTCCATCAATTTTTACTAGACATAGTATTTCCCATTTATTTTTTCCCAAATTCCATCTTTTTTTCAATTTACACTATTAATAGTTTATTTCAAATTGCGTGTGAATTATTGCTGACAACAGTTGCAGTTGTTAAAGTGTATTGTGGTTGTGATGGAGCGTTATGGGAGCCTCTCATTAAAAAAATCTAATGTTTCTCGCTCCAGGCAAAATCATGCAACTCCTCTCCGCATCGCTCGCATACTCTGTTGTGTTTGCACGCATACGTTTATGCATGTTTATGTGTTTGCCAGAGTGAATTTATCAGAGGACTTTGATCAGTTCATGCCCGCCAACTGTGAAATCCATCTTTCCCTTAACATGTTTTATTTAAACGTTGCATTTAACTGCATTTAACCTCACGCAGCTCAGAGATTGGCCGAGATCTGCCGTTTCACACACACACACATGCTCGTATCTCAGTAACCCCCTGAGGCTTTTTGGCATGCGCATTTTAATATTCAGACTCTTAATGAACCCTAAGCCAACACTAGCAATGGCACAGCATTCAAACCGTATGCCGATGTATCAATGGTAAAGCGACCTATGACTGTTTTCAGCACAGATAACACGACCTGCTGCCAGATTTCACGTTATCAGTGTATGCAGTGGCAGAGCGCTGCACTTTTATCTTCTTAAACTCAACTCCGTTTCCTGCTGTGACAGTTTAGGCAGAAGCGCACAGGATCTGGAGGAAAAAGCTTATATTTGTTGAAACTGTTCCCACTGCAGCTTCCCACTAGCTAAGTTTATCTTTGTTAATGGTGTTTTCTGTAAATCAAATCAAAATGCGGTTTCATATGAGAGTTACAGCTGAAATTGAAAACCGAGCTGCAGGTGGAAACTGTTTTATGCAATAAAAGCTTTTCAGATTTTGCTGCGTTTTAATGTTGCTTTTTGTAAACCAAATCAAAAGTCACTTCATTTGAAAATTACATGGAAATAAACCTGTAATTCTATAAATAGCCCCCCACAGAATCAGCAGAACTCAAGCAGAATTTAAATACCTGTGATTAAAGTTCTACACATCCCTTGTTTATCCATTTATTTAATATTTTAGAATTGTATTATGCTTTCTGCTACCAATAAGAGTAGTATTCTCAGATCTGAATAATCAATTTCAGCATGTTAAAATCCACAGATCCCCCCCCCCCAAAATCAGCACTGTGAATGTGGAAAAAGACCTGTCTAAACTGATTTTTATTTTTTATTCTTCTTCTTTTTTTTTGGTTTGTGTGTGTGTGTGTGTGTTTCTGTATGATTTATTTATTTATTTTTATTTTTGCATTTTGCTTCATATGGAATTCTGGTTCCACCATGGAATGAAAAAAGAAAATTGCGACTTTATATCTCACAATTCTGACTTTTTTTCTACAGTTCAGAGAAAAACACTCAGAACTGTGAGATACAAACTCATAATTATGATATAAACTCAGAATTATGAGAGATATAAACTCAGTATTATGAGAGATACAATCTCAGCATTATGAGATATAAACTCAGAATTATATGAGATGTAAACTCAGAATTATGAGATATAAACTCGGAATTATAAGAGATGTAAACTCAGAATTATAAGAGATATAAACTAAGAATTATGAGAGATGTAAACTCAGAATTATGAGATATAAACTCGGAATTATAAGAGATGTAAACTCAGAATTATAAGAGATATAAACTAAGAATTATGAGAGATGTAAACTCAGAAATATGAGATATAAACATGGAATTATGAACGATATAAACTCAGAATTGTGAGATACTCAGAAATATGAGATATAAACTCAGAATTATGAGATATATCAACAGAATTATGAGATATAAACTCGGAATTATAAGAGATGTAAACTCAGAATTATAAGAGATATAAACTAAGAATTATGAGAGATGTAAACTCAGAAATATGAGATATAAACATGGAATTATGAACGATATAAACTCAGAATTGTGAGATACTCAGAAATATGAGATATAAACTCAGAATTATGAGATATATCAACAGAATTATGAGATATAAACTCAGAATTATGAGATATATCAACACTCAGAATTATGAGATACTCAGAATTATGAGATATATCAACAGAATTATGAGATATAAACTCAGAATTATGAGAGATATAAACTCAGAATTGTGAGATACTCAGAATTATGAGATAGAAACTTAGAATTGTGAAATGGGGGGGGGAGTCAGAATTCTGAGTTTGCATCTTGCAATTCTGAGAATTTTGAATTCCAGAATTTAAAAAACGAATTTTAAGATAAAATGTCACAATTATAATTTCACATGACAGCATGGCAGAAACAGCTTTATATAGTTTTACTTGTTTGTTTTATTTTCATGTTTTTTTTTGTTTGTTTTTTTGTATTTTCTTAAAAAAAAAGAATTATTATTATTTATTTTTTTTGTATTCTCTGTTGCTTTTTGTTTGTTTTTTTGTTTTTTGTTTTTTGTTTTTGTTGTTGTGTTTTTTTTTCCATATTATCTTATCCAGGGTGACTTACAGCAGATGTATTTCGGAAAAGCACGGGAGTGCTTTTGAGAGACAAAACAAAGGGAAAAATCCTAGTTAAAAAAAAAAAACATTTCCCTTGACTGGGTATAAATCTTCACATCAATAAATACTGAGAGGAGAGCAGTTATAGAAGTATGTATATGGGGTCCATTTACTGGAGAAGCTGATGTCAAAAGCCATTTTCCCTCTGGTATTAAATTCTCCCCCATCTGAGTCCTCCGAGGCTTTTTACCGCCCATAATTACTTCACTTTTCATTTTCTTGTGGTTTGCGGTGTCCTCTGTTCAAACCCTCTTAGGTCTTAAAAATCTCCACCTGTGAAATACGAATCGAGACAATTATACGCAGCTGTTATAAGCAGCCGTTTCCATGACACCATTAAAGGAAAGATCAAAGGAAAAATGTCCGGGAAAAGAAAGGAATTACAGGCAAACATCAGAGAGAGCACTTCTCGGATACAGAATGGCGTGGAGATTCGCCCACAGCTGTGATGCACAAAACACGTGTGTGTGTGTGTGTGTGTGTGTGTGTGTGTGTGTGTGTGTTTACTGTAAGTTAAGCTGTGATTGGTTGACGTCCTGATCTTTGTGTTCAGGGAAAGTGGATTTGCTGGAAGAGGTCACATGTTTCTCTGGCAGAGTGTGTGTGTGTGTGTGTGTGTGTGTGTGTGTGTTGCTCCTGCTCATCGTGAAAGGATAAAACAACATGCGTCTTTCCTCAGGACTCTTCATGCTGTCATCCTCATTTTCAATTTGTAAATTTAGTAAATATTTTAAGATATTTTTTTATTTTTGAGGGAGGTGTGTGTGTTTGTATGTGTGTGTTGCTGCTTTCAAGTCCCTGACTTTATACTTTTTTTTTACAAACTTTAATATAGCAAAATATCTTTACAATTGATTCTTCATGTTTGCTCATTTATTTATTATTTGTCATTTAATACCTTAATATTGAACTTTAAGCTATGAGACATGAAGGAATCTCAGATCTGCAACAGAGAAGCATGAGAGTTGTAGTTTTGTCGCACAGACCTGTTGCCTTATAATCAGTAAAAGTATTTTCTGTCAAGAATTATTGCTTTATCAACAGTACAAAAATGCAAACAAGCAAATTCTGTAATTAACATTCACTATTATGATTTATTATAATTCATACCAATTTTTTAAAGTCTACTGATTTTAATATATGTTTTTTTTATTACTAACAATACAGATAAAGATTCTTTTTGTTTGTTAAAGTGTCTAATAATCAATGTGCCAAAATGTTCATTACACTTTAATATATATACGCCAAATAATCATAAATAATAAAACTATGATCATAAGAACATATGTTCATATTTAATAATTATTAATATTATAATTAATAGATTAATAATTATTAATAAATAATATCTCACTTAAGCATGCATGACTATTGTTTTAAAAAGTATTACAAACTGATTTTAATTATTGCTTAAAATCTCGGGCTAACCACACTAAATAATTCTCTAAATAAATAAAATAAATAAGTAATTATACTAGGAAAATTAAAACATGTAAATAAATTAAGAATTATTATTATTAAAAAAACTTTAATAATTATAAATGGCAATAATAATTAAATTAAACTCATATAAAATATATAATTTATGCAAACATTAAAATATTAAATTGTCGAATGCAGCAGGTGTGTGTGTGTGTGCGTGTGTGTGTGTGTGTGTGTGTGTGTGTGTGTGTGTGTGTGTGTGTGTTGGTCACATCACCATCTCTCCTCAGATTCGCTGGAATGATGTCATGCTTGCCTTTCATTGGTCACAGCTAAATTCATCTGCAGCCAATCTGGCCACAGAAGCTTCTGCAGTGGACCAACAGTGTTACCGAAATTGTGGAGTTGATTCTTCTGTTTGATTGGTCTGTGGTTTTGTGTGTGCGTGTGTGTGCGTGTGTGTGTGTGTGTGTGACCGTTTCTGACATCATCACCATCTCTTCTCAGATTCGCTGGAATGATGTCATGCTTTCCTTTCATTGGTCACAGTTAATTTCATCCGCAGCCAATCAGGCCACAGAAGCTTCTGCAGTGGACCAACAGTGTTACCGAAATTGTGGAGTTGATTCTTCTGTTTGATTGGTCTGTGGCTCAGTTTGGTTCTTGTGCCTGTGTGTGTGTGTGTGTGAGCGCGTGTGAACGTGCGTGTGAATGTTTCTGACTGGTCTTCATTGCTTTCTCTTTCCAAGCTTCCATAGTGACGGTAATTCGGCTGGTCAATGATGCAGTCGACACGATTGAGAATGAAGGTACTCTTTCCCACCGCTGGACTCTGAAGCATCTTCCTTAAAAGCGCTTGAAGACTCATGCACAAACCTTTAAACACACTCTTTTTTTCTTTCTCTCTTTTTTTGATATTTACACACCTTTGCTTAGAAGTCAACATGTGGACCATAGACTTTTATTAGGGCTGTCGCTCAATTAAATAATTCATCTCATTGTATGCAGATTAATCATTTGAAGTATTCATGATTAATTGCATATCAATATTTGATACGAAAAGCCCTCAAGGAAAGATAATCAAAATTTAATTTTATGTCCATTTCACATTAATATGTAATTTTTTTTTTAATATAGAATTTTTTTTTTTATAATCATCCAAAATGAGTTTAAAATTACAGCCCTCTTTTTAATATGAAAATTATTATAGTGATTACACAACTTATCCTTTAAAAGAAAACCTTTTGAACTTTTAGTCTGTAGTCATTATGACTTTACATTAAAATTTTTATTTATTTTTTATTTTTTATTTATTTTTTGGTTGAATGCATTCTCAAAGGGTTTTGTCTGTTTTAGCTTTGTTCTTCTCATTTCTTCCCCAAACCATAGTTAAGTACACTACAGAAGTAAGTGTGTGTGTGTGTGTGTGTGTGTGTGTGTGTGTGAGTGTGAGTGAGTGTGTGAGTGTGTGAGTGTGTGAGTGTGTGTGAGTGTGTGAGTGAGTGAGAGAGAGAGAGAGAGAGAGAGAGAGAGAGAGAGCATTACTCATGAGAAGAAACGTCACCCCAGTCAGCAAGATGATCCAGCAAACACACACGAGTCCCTGCTCAAATATTTTCACTGACGAACTCACACCTACAAACACATCCCCAGATCATATATTACCCAGAACGGAAGAGCACAAATCTTGCAAACACACACACGTTTGAAGTTGTAAAAAAAGCTTTTCAAGTGTATCTTCAAAGCTAGACAAGCTAAAGTAATGTAGGCTGATGAGCCTGTTTTTCCACTTGTCCTTAGATTTAGAGGTTGTAAATCTAACAAACTTCTGAATCTTGAAACTAGTTCACGCCAAGACATCTCAAAACTAGTTCATATTTACATATTTTTAAACTATTCCTTCGTTCGAGTACTCTTGTATATTTAAAGGTTCATGCAGTATTTTTTTGTTTCATTGGCCAATACAAAGATCTGTTAGCATTAGTATTCCCATACTGTTCATTTCTTGAGGTGCTATTTTAGTATTATTTTACTGTTATTTTAGTATTATTTATATACTTTTATAGTATTTATTATTATTTTGAATTAGGTTTTATTTATTTAATATATTGATTGATTGACGTTTTTGTAAATTTGTGCTTTTATTTTTTATTAGTTTGTTTGTTTTTTTTACATTTCAATAGCTTTAATTTATATTTCAGTTTTAGTCATTTTAGTACTTCAAATTAAAATTATTTATTTTAAATTATATAAATTTTTACCTATTTTATTTTATAGTTTTATATTTTATATATATTTTTAATTTTTTACATTTATTTTTTATAATTTTAGTTTTAGTTCACAATAACAGCACTGCTTTAAAGTGGACAAAAAATACTTATGGCACCTTTAAAACCAGCTCACAATGACAAATTATACACCTAGTTGTTGTAATAGCTGATGAAACTATTTTACTATTCGTTGATGCAGTCATTTTCAGTTAACTAGCTTATATTTTGCATCTGAAGTCTTTTATCTTTTATATATTAGTTAGGATTGCTTTACATGTGTTTTAGTGGATATACTGTACACAGTCTTTAAACTGATATTATATTCATATTTAGTCCAGAAGGTTTCGTTCTAACAATGTAAATCTAATTTGTTGAATGTGGTGGCATTGTGTGTGTGTGTGTGTGTGTGTGAGTGCTTGATTTTCACAGTAATGGACTACAGACTCGCTTCTCTTGGTCCACATTTAAATGGCATTTGAGCTGTGAGCTTAATCACAGTCAATCAAACTCACAACTGAAGATCAAACATGAGCACTTTAATAAGCTGGGAAGGAATGTACACATTTTTACAGCCCCATTCTCTCTCTCTCTTTCTGTTTTCACTCTCCGTTATCTCTTACCCTTTTAAATATTGACCATGGTATTCATAATTTCCCTAATATACTAGTTACTGTAGTTATTGCTAAAAAAAGAGATTTTATTTAATAGTAACAATAAACAGCATAAGCAGCTTTTTTAATATCTCTATGTAGCTTTATTGTAGTTTTATTAATTTCAGTAATTCAAGCTAAAAACAAAAAATGTTTAATTTGTAGTTTTAAGTTTTAGTAATTTTGTTTTGCGCTTTTGTTGTTAGTTGCCTTTTTAATGTTTTTTTATGTAGCTTTAATTTATATTTATTTTAGTTCTTGTAATTTTTTGAAATTCAAGCTAAAAAAAAACTTAATTTTTAATTTAAGTTTTAGTAATTTTGTCTTTTGCACTTTTTTGTTGTTATTTGTTTGTTTGTAGCTTTAATTTATATTTATTTTAGTTGTAGTAATTTTAGTAATTCAAACAAAAAAGAAACCGCATTTAATTTTTAGTTTTAGTAATTTTATATGCTTTTGTCATTGTTAGTTTGCTTTTTTAAATATTTCTGTGTAGCCGTAATTTATATTTATTTTAGTTTTAGCCATTTCAGTAATTAAAACTAAAAAGAAACCACATTTAATTATTTCACATTTTAGTAATTTTATGTGCTTTTGTCATTGTTAGATTTTTTTATATTTCTCTGTAGCTTTAATTTATATTTATTTTAGTTTTAGTAATTTCATTCAAACTAAAAAGAAATCACATTTAATTTTTAGTTTAAATTTTAGTAATTTTATGTGTTGTTGTCATTGTTAGTTGCTTTTTTAATATTTCTATGCAGCTTTAGTTATTTATTTTAGTTTGAGTGATTTTATTAATTCAAATGAAAAAGAAACCACTTTTAATTTTTAGTTAACGTTTTAGTTATGTGCTTTTGCCATTGTTAGTTACTTTTTAATATTTCTATGTAGCTTCAATTAACGTTTATTTTTCTACCCCACTTCCAGTTTTGTAAAATGCAATAAAATCAAGAATCTGTGATTTGTTTATTCTCTTTTATTTAATTGACAAAAGTACAAAGAAAAGATTTCCAAAGTTTTCACTGACCAACGTAAATGTATTTTATAAATATGAGCCAATTTTGATTTTGATGACTGCAACACACTCCAAAAATGTTGGGAGAGAGGCATGTTTAACACTGTGTCCCATCAACCTTCCTTTTAATTACAATGTTTCATTGTTTAGGAATTGAGGATACTAATTGTTAAAGTTCTGCAAGCAAAATTTTTGTCCAGTCTCGCTTGATACAAGACTTCAGAAGCTCAGCAGTCTGTGATTGTTGTTGTCTGATTCTCCTTTTCATGA